TCTTTTCTTTTTAAATTACCCAGTTTTGGGTATGTCTTACAGCAGCATGAGAATGGACTACTACAATTATGAAATAAAACTTTCATTACTTAGAATTTTTATTTTATATTTTTTGAAATAACTATTTTAAACTTCTTCTTCTTCTCTTCCTCTTCCTCTTCTTCTTCTTTCTTCTTTCCTCTTCTTTTTTCTTCTTTTTTAAAGACAGGGTCGGGTGAGGAAAAATGAGAACACATGGACACAGGGAAGGGGGTACTACACACTGGGGTCTATTGGGGGGAATAGGGGAGGGACAGCGGCGGAGGGGGGAGCTGGGGAGGGATAGCCTGGGGAGAAATGCCAAATGTGGGTGAAGGGGAGGAAGGCAGCAAAACACACTGCCATGTGTGTATCTATGCAACTATCTTGCACATTCTGCACATGTACCCCAAAACCTAAAATGCAATAAAAAAGAATACAAAAAAAAAGAAAATATTTTCTAAGCTGAAAATAAATAAATAAATAAAGACAGGGTCTCGCTCTGTTGCCCAGGCTGCATTGCAGTATCATGGTCTCAGCTCACTGCAGCCTCTACCTCCCAGGCTCAAGCAATCCTCCTGCCTCAGCCACCTGAGTAGCTGAGACTACAGGCATGCAATACCATGCCTGGCTAATTTTTGTATTTATTTGTAGAAATGGGGTTTTGCCATGCCCAGGCTGGTCTTGAACTCTTGGGCTCAAGCAATCCTCCTGCCTCAGCCTTCCAAAGTGCTGGGATTACAGGCATGAGCCACCTGTGTCCAGCCTAGACATAGATTTATATCAGGTATCCCTCTTGTGTATATATGAATTTTAAAAAGAAGCAAAATAAATTTGTTAAGATATTCCTAAAACTTCTTCACAACATCTAACTCTTCTGAATCTTTCTTTTTAGTAATAAATTTGACTGTATTTTTAAAATTCCATTAATCAAGAGGCAATATAATAAAGTTTAAAAAATCAACAGACAATATGTATTTGTAACATATAAAAGAATGTATTGGTATCATGAATATATAGTAAATTTATATATCTTAGTAAGAAAAAGAAAATGGAGAAAAGACCAAAAAACCTGTATAGGCAGATAGGTACTAGAAATTTTTTTTTTTTTTTTAAGATTTTTACACCTACAGAAGATGTAGAAAAATAGTACAGAAGACCAGGCACGGTTGCTTACACCTGTAGTCCCAGCACTTTGGGAGGCTGAGATGGGCAGATTACCTAACATCAGGAGTTTAAGACCAGTGTAGCCAACATGACAAAGCCCTCTCTCTACTAAAAATAAAAAAATTAGCTGGGCATGGTGATGGGTGCCTGTAATCCCAGCTACTCAGGAGGCTGAGGCTGGAGAATCGCTTGAACCTGGGAGACGAAGTTTGCAGTGAGCTGAGATCGCGTCACTGCACTCCAGCCTGGGTGACAAATCGAGATTCTGTCTCAAAAAAAAAAAAAAAAAAAGTAGAGGAAGTTTCTGTAAACCCTGTACCCGCTTCCCCTATTTTAACCTTACATAACTATAGAACAATTTTCAAAACTAGGAAATCAATTTTGACATGATAATATGACTTGAACTATAAATTTATTTTGCACTATACCAGCTTTTCCTCCAATGTCCATTTTCTCCTCCAAGATCAAAGCTAGAATCCCACACTGCATTTAGTTTTTATGTCTTCTTTGTCTCCCTTCTATGACAGTTCTTCCGTCTTTGTCTTTTACAACTTTAACACTGAGACAGGCTGGGCACAGTGGCTCATACCTGTAATCCCAGCACTTTGGGAGGCTGAGGCGGGTGTATCACTTGATGTCAGGAGTTTGAGACTAGCCTGGTCAACATGGTGAAACCCCATCTCTACTAAAAATACAAAAATTACCTGGGCATGGTGGGAGGCACCTGCAATCCCAGCTACCCTGGAGGCTGAGGCTACAAATTGCTTGAACTCAGGAGGTAGACATTGCAATGGGCAGAGATAGCGCCACTGTCCTCCAGCCTGGGTAACAGAGTAAGACACTAACTCAGAAAACATGTATAACTTTGAAACAGTATCAGTTACTTCGCAAATATCCCTCATTTGATTTTGTCTGATGTTTTCTCTTGATTAGATTGAGGTAATGCATTATTTGGAAGAAGGCTGCAGAGGCTATGTGCCTCTCATTGCATCAGTATTGGGGTATATAATGTTGAAGGGTATTATTATTATTATTTGAGATGAGGTCTCACTCTGTTGCTCAGGCTGGAGTGCATTGGCAGCCTCCGCCTCCTGGGTTCAAGCAATTCTACCACCTCAGCTTCCCGAGTAGCTGGGATTACATGTGCCCACCACCACGCCTGGGTAATTTTTGCATTTTTAGTAGAGACGAGTTTTCACCATGTTGACCAGGCTGCTCTCGAACTCCTGACATCAGGTGAGCCACCCACCTTGGCCCCCCAAAGTGCTAGGATAACAAGTGTGAGCCACCGTGCCTAGGTGTTGAAGTGTATTATGAATGATGTTTACCTTAGTCAGTTTAATCAGTTTATGTTTGCCAAGATTCTCCATTGTAAAATTACTATTTTCCCTTTGTAATCAGTAAATATTTTGGGGTGGGGCAATGCCTTGGTAATGTACTGAATAGTGTCCTCCATAAATTCATTCCCACACAGAAACTTAAAATGTAACCTTCTTTAGAATAGGGCCTTTGTGGATGTAATCAAGTTAAGATAAAATCATACTGGTTTAGAGTGGGCCTGAATCCCAGTGAGTAGTGTCCTTAGAAGAGGGAATTTTATACACTGACTAGAGACATACATGGAGAATGCCATATGAAGACAAGAGATTGAAGTGATACATTTAGAAATCAGGGAACAAGAATTGCCAGCAACCCCAGAAGCTAGGACAAGGGCATGGAAAACATTCTCCCTCAGGCTTCTAGCCTCCAGGACTGAAAGAATGAATTTGTTTTAAGCCACCCAGTTTGAGTTCATTTGTTATGGAAACTCTAGGTACTAACACAAACATATAAATATCCTGTGTTTGCTTAAATTTTAGTCCACCATCCATTGGTGGATCTTGCTGAGTCTTTTTGGTTCATAGATGTCCAGGTTTTCCCACATAGAATTATTTTGAACCCACCAAGAACACTCATAACGTAGCATTCCTCAAAAAGTGCTCCATGGTTTCCAATATTTTATTCCAAGCTGCTAAGTCACTGTGGTAGGCAGAATTCCAAGCTGGCCACCAAGATTCTCCTGCCGCTATACATGTCTTACATCATCCCATTGTAAGCATAGGTGAAATGCGGTTATGCGAAGCTGTGTCACTTATATCTCTTTTCTGACAAAGGGATTACTGCAGATATAATTACGATCTCTAATCAGTTGGGTTAACCAAGAGGGAAATATTCTGGCTGGACCTGACTTAGATGTATTCTTAAAAGGGAGTCTAAAGGGGAGATATTCTGGCTGGACCTGACTTAGGTCAGGTATTCTTAAGAGAAGTCAGAGATGATGTCCTGTTGGCCTTGAAGACAGTCTTTGAGTTGTATAGATGTACCAAAATGAATTTTGTCATTAGCTATGTGAATGTGGGAGAGCCTGGAGCCTCAGATGAGATGCAGTTAGTTCTGACACCTTGATTTTAGCCTTGTGAGTATATGAGAGGAGAGCCCATTTGAGCCCTGCATGGACTTCAGACCTACAGAACTGTGAGAGAAGTGGATACTGCTTTAAACTGTTATTGGTGGTAATTTGTTTTATAGCAGTAGAAGACTAATACAGCCAGCCATACTCCACATTTGATGCTGGCACACTTTCGATAAGATATCAATGGAAAGTACAGAAAATGGCCAAAACCCATGTTCCTTTTTCAAATGGTCCTTAGTTTGATTGAAATATTGAGACTGTAATTCAACCATTGTGGAAGCCAGTGTGGCAATTCTTCAAGGATCTAGAAATAGAAATACCATGTGACCCAGCAATCCCATTACTGGGTATATACCCAAAGGATTATAAATCATTCTATTATAAAGACACATGCATATATATGTTTATTGTGGCACTGTTCACAATAGCAAAGATTTGGTACCAACCCTAATGCCCATCAATGATAGAATGGATAACGAAAATGTGGCAAATACACACCATGGAATACTATGCAGCCATAAACAAGGATGAGTTCATGTTCTTTGCAGGGACATGCACGAAACTGTAAACCATCATTTTCAGCAAACTGACACAAGAACAGAAAACCAAACACCACATGTTCTCACTCATAAGTGGGTGTTGAACAATGAGAACACATGGACACAGTGATGGGAATATCACACACTGGGGCATGGTGAGGGTGCTAGGGGAAGAATAGCAGGGGGTAGGGGAATTGGGGAGGGATAGCATTAGGAGAAATACCTAATGTAGATGACGGGGTGATGGATGCAGCAAACCACCACCATGGCAAGTGTATACCTATGTAACAAACTTGCATGATCTGCACATGTACCCCAAATCTTAAAGTATAATAAAAATTAAAAAAAAAAAAAAAGAAATATGGAGACTGTCTTTGTCCAGTCATTCACCATGAGTGCAAACCAATTTTGTGTATGCTTACAGTCAACCACATCAGAACCTGTGATTCTGATGTAAGATATATCCCAATATCAAAGATATTAAAATAAGAAATAGAATCTTATAATCAGTAACATACAAAAATTCATCAATTAGTTCCATACATATTTCTACAAGGCTAGATGAAATTTTGAGTGAAGTTGTAGTTAACTGAAGCTCTGAAGGTTCTGCCTCCTCTTTAGCATTCCAGGAGCAACAAAACAAAAGCACGAACTGCTTTTTCCTGTATTAGCAGATAACACCCCTTAATTCACTCTGAAAGTTGCCATGAGATCTATCACTGAAATAACTGCAGAATATGAAATATGACCTCTTATAGTTAAATGTGTTTAATATAAATGAGGCAGAGGAAAGGAGAGATAAAAATTAGTAAGATATTAGCAAGGATTTTTAAAAAATGTATAATTTATTATATATGTATATATTCCTTAACAATATGTTGTATGATCCAACAATGAAATATACATCCATGAAAATGACAGATATAAAACAATAAAACATATGAATGTTAGAGATAAGTGAAAAAAGAATCAAATCCTTGGACTACATAGAGTATGATACACTTTTTTTTGAAGTTCAAAAAGAAAGAAAACTAAAAAGTAAGTCACTTTAGGGATACATATGTATTTCAGGTGTTTTTACATGTGAATAAAACTATTAAAAAGGGCAGGGGGGTGGGCAAAGATAGGAGAGGAGCTCAAATAGATGAAATGCAAGCTCTGCTAATGTTGTCATTCTTAAGTTAGGTGATGAGTTATTATACTTGATAGTTTATTTGCATTCCACATTTACCCTTTTATAAGCATCCAAATTACATTTAAGTCAAAAATTATGTGTAAAGTATTAATAAAATTTATATGTGTATGGTTGTTCCCAAAACTATGCTTATTTTATCAAGCAGAGTTCTTGGTTATAAGCAATTCAGGTAGGTTTTAACAACAACAAAAAACCCCTGATTGTATTAAAAGTAATTCTCAGGATCTCTAGGACACCCAGCAAACAAGAATTAGAGGTTACAGACCAGGCATGGTGACTCTTGCCTATAATCCCAGCACTTTGGGAGGCTGAGGTGGGCAGATCACCTGAGGTCAGAAGTTCCAGACCAGCCTGTCAACATGGAGAAACCCCATCTCTACTAAAAATACAAAAATTAGCCGGGCGTGGTGGTGGGCACTTGTAATCCCAGCTGAGGGAGGAAGGATGAGGCAGGAGAATTGCTTGAACGCAGAAGGCGGAGATTGCAGTGAGCTGAGATAGTGCCACTGTACTCCAGCCTGGGTGACAGAGCAAGACTCTTGTCCAAAAAAAAAGGAATTAGAGATTATCACTAAACCACTTTTGCTGCTCCTCTGTGGAAATGAATGCAGTAGTTTTGTTAGTTACCATCTTCAAAGGAATCTGCATGGTTCCTTGCTTCTTTATATCACTAACTTTAAAGCTGAAGGCTGCAAAGGAGGCTGAGAAAACATTTACCTGGTAGTTTCAAATTCTTTAGGAGGGAGGAATGTGGAATGCTCTGCCTCATTAGCTGAGGGATTCCCTAAACACAGGAGTTAAGATACTGGGCAGCTAAAAGAGAAATGACAGATGTTTGCTACAGTCCATGCTCTTGGCTATTCAACATTAACACACTCCTTCAGCTAATTCTTCCAAAACTATATTCAAGGGGAAAGGACTTGACAATGTAACAGTCACAGATACTGTTAGTTACTTTCTCAGCATTCTTTCTTCTTGGTAATACTGATTTTATTTGGGACAGTTATGTACCCTGCTTTCTTTGCAGGTACCAGTGGCCATTTAACTGGGTAGGCAATTAAGTCAAGGGGAAATCCGTTTGGAATTTCTGGGAAAGCTCTATTTTCCCTCATAAAAGGGGATATATGTAGCTGGCACAGGGCATTTCCATTTTTTCTTCCCTACCTTAAACATGGCATGACATTTGGCTCAGCAACAACTTTCTAGCAAACCCAAGAAAACAGCACGAGGGATGAAAGCCAACATGGTAAGGAGGCAGATTTGAAAGACACAACTGCCTTTTCCTGTGTATAATATATTGAGTCACTGGTTTTACATTATCCCTTTAGTTGAATGCACACACACTCTCAGCTATACCATTCTAGAAAACACTATCTCATTAGCTAAGACTTCATTTATTGAATTCATAATATTTTCTAATATATGAACTGTGGTGTTTCACACTGTTGCACTATTAATCAAAATAGATTTTGCTATTCAAGAAACATTTGAACTCCCCGCAGTATTTGGCATTTAAAGGCATCTCAAGTTAGTGATTAAAGATGTGCCTAAGACTGTCTGGGTTTGAATCTTGGTTCCAGTTTGGACAAATAACCACCTCCTTGTGCCTGAGTATCTGCAAAATGAGGTACAGTTAAAGTGGAGATTATATAATACAGTACCTGACACATAGTAAAGCACTCAATAGATGGTAGCCATTATTGGCAATACCATATATACTCTGCTTTTGTGGCACCAAGGTTTTCTACTTCCCTCCTACTCATTTATTATTTCTACTGATTTCTCAAGTTTGAAGTCCCTTTTCTGTATCCTATAGACTTACATAATGGATTTCTCGCACTGCATTATAATGATATATACACTTGTCTCCTGTACCAGAATTTTTCACTTTTAAATGCATAACTATTAATGAAGTAGTTGGCACATAGACTAGACTTCTTCTTTTTAATCTTTTAGAGTGCTAATCATTACACAATGGGGCCTAGACTAGACATTTTTAAATGAGTGTCTTTAGGAATTGTCTGGGATGATTATTAGAATACAAATTCTTGAACTCCATCTCCAAAGTTCTATTTCAGTAGGTCAGGGAACTACATTTTGAAGAATACTAAAATAAACCTTCAATGTTTGAATCTAATTATGCATAAAGTGTTAATAATTAAGAATTATAGATATTGATATAATACTACACCAATATAAAGTACTATTTGTAGAGTTACACTACAGTTATACTGTGCTAATTACAAAGTATGTATGATTCTTGTGATGACTACTTGACGATGTTTTTATATATGAAAAAAAAACCTCTGCATTTCCTAATTTGACTTATTAGTGAGTAAAATTAACTAATCTTCTAAAAATGCAATTTTTGTTAGAAAAGATAATTTTGAACTAAGATTTTAACCAGGTAAGTTCTTCAGCCACCGAAGAAGAAACTTGAAAATCCATTTAAAAGGAAGAACATTTCTCCCCCACTCAATTTGCTAACTACACATTATCTTCATAGCATTAACACCAGCCAGAATTTATATTATACAGGGCATTAAAAGCTTCTTAGACTTGTACCTCAGGCTTTTGATTTCCCAGGGGAAAAAGTTAATATGCAGATTTATCCTGATGCTTGAGATACAAAGAACTTTATAAACAGCTCTAAAGGAATATAAAGCAGACAAAGGGATACCATATTATACCTTAATTTGATTATTTTATCATTTTCACTGAAATCTAGCCATGGTAGATTTGGCCATGGCTGCTAAATGGTACTCTAGTACCTGTCTCCTGAATGGACTTATGGGGTCACCTAAGGTACACTGCAAGGCAGATAATAGCTGGGCTAATTACTTACTCTTGGGAAATGAAATGAAAAAACACTCACATTTGGAGGTGTTTTTTTTGTCAAATGCTATGCAGGATCTAGAACAGAAATTTGAAAAATTCTTAAATGACATATAACTATTCATTAACACCCAGTGCTCTAGGTGACATCCATTAGTATTACTGGGATCAGATGCTTTAGGACATCTTTGAAAGATTCTGTTGTTTTAACTGGAGTTAGTTCTTTATAGATGTATGAAAGAAATATTACATCACATACAGCACTAACAACTCTTTTTAATACTGTGTCTCTCCCATGCATTATGCTGCTTAATGTTATTGGAAAATACAAGTTTAGCATTATTTCAACGAATTCTGGGCAAATCTAAATACAATAGTGTAACATGAAGAAATTTATAAATGTGAAATGTGAGTAAACTGAACCGGGAATGATTTGATGAGTGAATCCAGCTGACCACTGGGCATTTTTATCTCAATGTTGCCTACATAGCACTATGAGTGTAATAATTCTCATTAGGTAATAAAACTGCTTCCTTACCTTTGTATATAGCTTTAAAAAGAAAAAAAGCTACTTTTATGTAAAAAATAGACCTAAAAAGAAAGTCAACTATTAGTACTAGGAGTGAAAGGCATCTAATCCAAGTAAGTGACAGTTCTTAACTACAACATGGAAATTATATAAAAGTTAAAATAGAATGTAGAACTAGTAGGATAACATTGAAAAATTGACTCAGGGAGGCTGAAGCGAGTGGATCATGACATCAGGAGATCGACACCATCCTGGCCAACATACTGAAACGCTGTCTCTACTAAAAATCCAAAACTTAGCTGGGCGTGGTGGCATGTGCTTGTAATCACAGCTATTTGGGAGGCTGAGGCAGGAGAATCACTTGAACCAGGGAGTTGGAGGTTGCAGTGAGCTGAGATCGTGTCACTGCACTCCAGCCTGGCAACAGAGTGAGACTCTGTCTCAAAAAAAAAAGCTAAGAAAAATTGACTCATTATATTTGGGTTTTTTGATTTTCTTGTGTTTTTGGCTGATTGTATTTAATAAAAGCTAATTTTAGTATTTGAAATAAGTGCACTTACATGTGTGCATGCACATACACAAGACAAGTTCCTCAGCTTTGAACAATGTGAACTTTGAACAATGTATGACAACTATACTATCACTGGGGAAAAATATAGCTGACTTATTTCCAAGTATGTTTCCTGGGACTAGCAGTAGGTTCTCTCAAATTAAAAGCAAAGGCACCAGGCCATAAAGTGCCAATTCTTAGCACCAGAGAGACTTAAAACTTCACAGGCGAATGACATTACAAATCAGAGAATCAACTGATTTAGTTCTGTGGAATTGTATTATTTATATCAAATGAAAAAAAAAAGATAAACCAAGGTTTATGCCAAATAAATTTAAAAAGTTAAATCTCTCCTAAAATTTCCTAGGAGTGTATTTTACAATGCTATACATAATAAAATTGCTGGCTTATAAAAAAATGCTCAAAGTTTCAGAGATGTGAAAAATAACAATGAATTGAAAACACAGTTTATATAAATCAAGGTCCCAGAAATAAAAATTAAAAGTAGTCTCTTTGAGAAAGGAATAGTGAAATTCAGCATGTATCCACATTAATACATCTGAGAACCGTTTTCATGGACAGCAATATTGACTGGAAATTCTAAATTGCCACCTGATAACTGTAATCAAGGTTAAATCAAATCTGAGGCAAGACACTTAATGAACAGTACTTGAATGGGAAGATAGTAACTTCCTTCTTTGATAGACAATCTCCAGCCATCATTCAGAGCTCAGTTATTTGATGGCTTGTGAAGTGGTGTCCATTGAGTTTTCCTTTCTGGCTTGAAGAGACTCACTGCTGATGGACAATAATTCTCGAAGTTCCTTATTTTCAAGCTGGAAAAAAAAGGCATGTTTATTTCTGGTATTTTTTACTGTCAAACTGTGTTATAAAAACACATTATTTTGGGCCAGGAGCAAAAAACATTATTTTAATTAAAAAAATTTTAAGGAAACAAAAAGTCCACGAATTGAGAATTTCCTTAAATACTACTTATTTATTCATTTAACAAACATTTACATGTAGAATGTAGGCAATGATACTCTTTTGTAGTAGTAATTTACTGAGTAATTTCTATATACCAACTGTGAGGCTTGTAAAGGAAAAACAAAAAACAAGGTCCCTCTCCACCTGAGGAATTCACTGTTATATTTTTCATGGTTCCCACAGTTTTACTATTATTTATTTTATTTAAAAAATTCCTAATAATCATTTCACTCTGATTAGTCTCCACTCCTGGATATCTTACAGTTCTAGAGAAACGGAAGAAAAGGGGCTTATTAAGCATGTAGCTGGGTACTGCATGGGTGCACTGTATATGTTATCCCACAATAACCCGTAGGGTAGGGTATCATTGCCTACATCCATATTCTACTTAAGATGAGGATACTCTGTCTTACAAAATTCCAAAAAGTTGTCAAAATTCAGACAACTTGGATGTGATACTGCTGGGGTCTGAATGTGGTCATGTTTTTTCTACATGAAGTATTAAAGTAGAACTTGTCCCACATTTCCTTAGGGCTATTTCCATAAGTGAGGAAATTGGGGACAAATAGAAGGTCATTCTATCATTTCACTGGCTCCTAATTACTACTTGGGACCTGTCACTACCTTCGATTTCTAGACAGGGTAGCTTGCACTCTTCATCCTTATTCTCTGCAGAAAATTCTGGTAAACCAAAGCATTTTTAGCTTCACCAAGATGTGTGGAAGCCGCAGATAGAGTAACTAAGAGATTAGAGCCTGTAGTCGATAAATCTACCCCATGAAGTGCTTCCTTCAGTATTTGTATCTGTCTCCTAGCACTTACACATACTATTTCATATCATATAAGTACTAGGGTTATTCCTTCCACTAGACTCTGGGTAGGTACCTGTTTTTTCTCTCTGGTATTTGTCAAAAGGCCCAGGACAGCACCTTGTAATAAGCAGCACTCAAACCAGTAACTGAAATGCTTCGCTTTTTTTTTTCTTTTAAATTTTTGAGACGGTCTCACTCTGTCGCTCAAGTTGGAGTGCAGTGGTACATGTGATTGTGGCTCACTGAAACCTCGACTTCCTGGGTTCATGTGATCCTCCCACCTCAGTCGCCAAGTACCTGGGATTACAGGAGCACACCACCACACCTGGCTAATTTTCTGTATTTTTTTTGTAAAGACAGGGTCCCGCCATGTTACCCAGGCTGCTCTTGAACTCTTGGGCTCAAGCAATTCACTTGCCTTAACCTCCCAAAATTGAAATGTTTTTCCTTAACAATTTTATGGGCACACTATACCCCAAACCCTTTTTTGTAACATATTCCTATTCTAATCAAAATATGACATAAGCATAGCTTTTAAGAAATCAAGACTACATGGCTTATACAAGCGGTTCTTTGGCTTTGCACCCCAAATGCAACCACTATTTTATCTATTTCTTTTGGTATTTAATTCATAATTCTAAATAATACATTTATACTGCTATTTCCTGATCAAAGATTTTAGTTAGGTATTACCTATTTCCCTTCTTATTATGGCAGATGAGGATTTTATCTCACATATAACTTCTCCCCTCCACTCCCACTACCTTCGCATGATATCTCAACTTCTTGCCAATACATAGTTGGTATTTCCTTTGATTGCTGTTTACTATATTTTCTTTCTTCATAGGGTATGAAGGAGGAGTTTTAATTTTAAATCATAAACACACAGAAAACATCAATATATTACAGTGATAGGACAGTGAGGGTGTATCTTCCAGACTCTGGAAACTCTGAAATACTGTGAACCCAAAATGACAACAATCTTACCTCTAATTGGGCTAATTTTTCCTGAATCTTACAAAACTGGTCATCATCCACCTGAACTGCTTTCCTCATCACTTCTCCCATTTCACAGATTCTGTCAATCTGACTCTCAATTTCCTGTGGAGATATTAAGGAAACAAAGGTGAAAAAATCATTTGTTCTATAGAAATAAAGAACGTAAGAGTGTGTGTGTTATGATTTTTAAAAGTTCATTTAATCTATGTTACAGAAGTTACAGTGGAGTTTCACTACAATTTTAGTCCTCAGATATAAAGCCATAGTCAAGTGACCTTGTGGTATTCACAGATAATTTTTTTTTTTTTGAAAAATCAATTGTAGTTTAACTACCCATTGGATGTTGGATACTATCTCTAAGTGGCTAACTTAAATTTGAATACGTTAATTGGCAGGAAGCTTATTACATTTCATCTTTGGACATATCACTTAGAAAGTTTATCTATCTGAGTAAACTCTGTCTCTTTCAAGGTTCAAGTTTTTTCCTCCATAAGAGAAAAAATAAAATCTACTTTTCTATTCCAGATGAAAGCCATTCAAATATTTATAAAATATCTGTTTCCTAAAACTTTTAAGTCAGTAAAATGCATTCAATGGAGTTTAAGACGAAGCTTATCTTTCACTGCATCTCACAGTAGCATATAGTAGGCTCCAATCTACACATCTAGATTTAAATCATACAGTACACATGAATGTACAATGACATCTACGAAGCACCTACAAGCATAAGAATAATTACTGAGTCTCTCAAATTAGATCATAAGCAAAGTATAGAAACTATGCCATGCTTGTTTTTTTGTTTTTTTTTTTAAAAAAAAGCATACTTCTCTTCCCTAACAACATGGTATAATGCTATGTAGTTCAGTTTAAAAAATGTTTACTGACCGCCTGCTGTATGTCAGGTACTATGGTAGGAATAAAATATGAATTCATGCTCCTTACAACAAAGGAGCTTAAGTGAGATGTATAAAGAATAAGCAACCAAGTGTTTACTGGGCATCTTCAACACTAACTGGCATTATGTTTGGTGGGAGAGCTAAGAATTAATGAACATCTTCAAAAGAGATCTTGGTAAGGGAGGGGGTACCTTACTCCTACTCAAATAAAAGGACCTGAGCAGCCCCATCCTCCTCCTTTCTATTCATATCTTTACAAAGCCATGGCAAAATCAACAACAAACGTGATAAACATGAAAGGAAAACAAGCTTACTTTTCTTCAAAAACAAGCACACATGGCCAGGCACAGTGGTTCATGCCTGTAACCCCAGCACTTTGGAAGGCCAACGTAGATGGATTGCTTGAGCACAGGAGTTTCAAACCAGCCTGGGCAACACAGTGAAACCTCATCTCTACCAAAAACCAAAAAACCACATACACAAAAATTAACAGGGCATGGTGGTGTACACCTGTAGTCCCAGCTACTCAGGAGGCAGAGATGAGAGGATGGCTTGAGCCCAGGAGGCAGAGGTTGCAGTGAGCTGAGATCGTGCCACTGTACCTCAGCCTGGTCGACAGAGCCAGGCCCTATCTCAAAAAACAAAACAAAAACAAGCACACAATGAACAATCTCAAGATTTCAATTCAGTTCATTTCGAATTTATTCAAAGTTTCTTACTGCAGAGTGAGACTGGTGAGCTTTCAGGACTGGTTCGGCATCCACAGCTTTTTTAGCAACCATTAACTGTAACATCTGTTTCCGGTACTTGCTCATGATGAGTTCCAAAGCATCCTGGTGTTCCTCCAAGGAAACCCAGAGCTCTATCAAAAATAAAATAACTTGGCAGTGATGTCTGAGAGAGCGCTCCCATATCCAAAGTCTTAACAGTTGGAATTTTGTAACACTATAGAGATAATATGAATCCAAAGCTGTAAATCAGGGTTTAAGTCCACAAAACTGAACAGTTAAAGTCTATGTGAAAGATAACTTTCTAGGCAGAGAAGCAGAAACAACAAAGGATATGTCATCAGAAGACACGGGTTTGAGTTCAGTTCTGTAACTTGCTTCGTTAATACTTGTAAGTAAATCATTTAGCGTCTCTGAGTGTATTTCTTAACTGCATTGTAATAAATAGCTAAAAATGAAGATAGGAGAATACAGTAGAATGATACCTGTGAAACCCCGCTGGTAAACAACTAGTAATACTACAATTATTAATAATATACTAATCAAGCCGAAGAATATATACCCTTAAAATAACATTCTGCTGCTTCCCTTGCATGAACAAGAACATAAACAAAACCTTAAACCTTACCTTTAGTGTTTATTTTCATTAATACTTATTAAACATTAAAGTTTGCAAGAATTCAACTCTACTTAGCAGCTCTTTGGTAAGCTGCTACAAAATCAGTCAGATGATCTTGAAAAGGGTAATCTAAAAACCTTTGCTGTTACCGGGCCAGCACAGGAAGACTCGCCTACTAAAAGTACTGACCTGGAAATATATGTACATTTTTGTGAACGGTTAGGGCAATTCTGCAATACCTTTCAAACTATTACCAGATATGAAAAGGCCCGACTAACCTCTGTTTTCCTGCTGCAAGTCTCTAATCTGTGTGTTCTCTTGGGACAGCAGAATGTGAGGTTTGTATTTGGACATGTCCTTCATATCGGATGCATCCTCTTGATACTGGACAAACAGAGACAGACTAAGTAGAGAACAGCGGCAGATGCAACTGAAGAGGCAGAAATCAGCGCTCCGGGGCAGGTTTCTCAGCCCCGACCCAGGAAAAATGTCTCACCGCCGCCCTCTGAGACGCGGAATCAATTCCAGGCCGAGTTCCCACTTTACCTCGCTCTCCACCCTTCAGTGCCCAGAATCCGAGAGCACTGGACTCCTACCCTCTGCCTGACCTGATCCGGAAGCGCCGTCCCCGCCTCCCGCATAGAGGCTACCCGCCGGTGCAACGCCGCCGACTGATCCACCAGTGACTCAGCGGCCGCATCGTGCTCCCGCAGCCTCTCCAGCAGCGTCTTGGCATCTGTCAGGATCTTCTCGATGGTGCAGCTCATAGCAGCGGCACGACCCCACTGGACCTGCCGGGCTCAGCTACGCGACTTGCTGAGATCTGGGAGTCTGTCTCAGCATTACAAGCGTCACTTCCGGGCACGTTTAAAAGGTGTCTTGCGCCTGCGCAATAGCAGTCCCGTTTGCGGGTTTACCCGCTGGAACCTGTGGCTTCTTTGCAGTCCTGCCCAGCGCGGAGCCCCAGACCTGCCCTTGCCACGCCCTTGGTTTCCAATTCCCACAGCCTGCTGGTCAGGCCATGATTAACTGGGCAGTAGGAAGTTCTCCTTTCCCTACTGGTTTTCATCGATGTGGGTTGTTACTCATAGTTTTTATTTTCATTTAATTTTTAATTTAAAATTTTTGTTTTTTGAGACGGAATTTTGCTGTTGTTGCCCAGGCTGGAGTGCAGTGGCGTGATCTCGGCTCACTGAAACCCTTGCTTCCCGGGTTCAAGCGATCCCCCTGCATTAGCCTCCCAAGAACCTGGGACTACAGGCATGTGCCATCACATGCGGCTAATTTTTGTTATTTTTAGTAGAGACAGGGTTTCACCATGTTGGCCAGGCTGGTATGGAACTCCTGGCCTCAAGTGATCTGTCTGCCTCGGCCTCCGAAAGTGCTGGGAATATAGGCGTGAATCACCGCACCTGACCTATTTTCATTTAATTTTTTAAAAATCGTGGTAAAATACACATAAAATTTAATATCTCAGCCTTTTTTTTTTTGAGATGGAGTTTCACTCTTGTTACCCAGGCTGGAGTGCAATGGCGCGATCTCGGCTCACCGCAACCTCCGCCTCCTGGGTTCAGGCAATTCTCCTGCCTCGGCCTCCTGAGTAGCTGGGATTACAGGCACGCGCCACCATGCCCAGCTAATTTTTTGTATTTTTAGTAGAGATGGGGTTTCACCATGTTGACCAGGATGGTCTCGATCTCTTGACGTCGTGATCCACCCGCCTCGGCCTCCCAAAGTGCTGGGATTACAGGTGTGAGCCACCGCGCCCGGCTATCTGAGCCATTTTTAAGCATACAGTTCAGTAGTATTAATAGCAGTACATTCACACTGTTATACAGCCACCATCAGCATCCATCTCTAGAACTCTTTCATCTTGCAAAACTGAAGTTCTGCATTATTAAACAGTAGCTCCTCATTCTTTCTTCTCCCCATCCCCTGGCAGCCACCATGCTACTTTCCTGAATACCTGACATGAGTGAAATCATACAGCATTTGTATTTATGTAACTGCCTTATTTCACTTAGCATTATGTCCACAAGTTTTATCCATATAGTAGCACATATTATATTTTCCTTCCTTTTTAAGGCTGAATAATACTCCATTGTATTGTATATTCTGCATTTTGTTTATCCATTCATCCAGTGGGTTGCTTCCATCTTTTGCTATTGTAAATAATGCTGCTATTGCAACTGGCTCACATCTGGCTGCTTGCTGTTTAGAGGCCAAAAACATGAGAAGCGAGGTGCGGTGAAACGAAAGCAGTTTTACTGATCACATGCTCGCAGATGGGGCGTGGTTAGGCTCATGCCTTCAAAACAGCATTCCGTTTTTTTTTTTTTTTTTTTTTTTTTTGTCAAGGTATCCCAGAGACAGTATCAATTTCCAAACTTTTATTTCGTCCCATATCAATGCCAGGGTGATGTGCTACCTGCCCTGAGTCCATCATGTCCCTCCTATGATTAACAGACTTATAGTCAATTAAATGTTCTAGGCCAGATGTGGAGGAAGGTGGGCAGGCACTCTTTAACCTTAAACCCCCACTTAAGGATTGTTAAGAGCCAAAAACCAAAAGCCAAAAGGCAAGGTCACAAAATTGTCTTATCTATAAATTCCGTGCATTGAGCTGCTGTAATCTTGGCTTGTCACAATTACCCGTACAAACCGCAAGCATTTTGTTGAGCTGTGTTGGTATCTGTGTGCCATCCTTGTTTTGTAGGGGCTGAACTAATTTGAGCCTTCAGTATTGGCCCTTACAATATTATGTTTTAGTCTTTTGGCCTGGAGGGATTGAATAGTTTCAAAGTCTGTAGGTAAAACAAAACAGAAAGAAGTAACATTTCGAACACAAAGGTCATAAACCCTGCCTACTTTTGAGAATGACAGGAAAGGAAGTTCATAGGTAGCTAAACATTTAAATGATTTAGTATCAAGGCACTGAATAAATTATACTAATTCAGATAGAGGCAAAATTGTTAAATGAATTGTAATGTTTTTGAACACAAGACTGTCCCTGGGCCTCATGAAAGCAGTTTACTTTGTCACCTTTGCAGTTTAGTGTCAGATACTGACAGGAGTTGGTGCCTTCTTTGGATGAGATATGTGTAAAGCCCTGTAGCTCAAAAGCACAAGGATTAGTTAATATCACCTCATAAGAACCTTTTCAAAGAGCTGGGATTACAGGCACGTGCCACCACGCCTGGCTAATTTTGTATTTTTAGTAGAGACCAGGTTTCTCCACGTTGGCCAGGCTGATCTCGAACTCCTGACATCAGGTGATCCACCTCCTCAGCCTCCCAAAGTGCTGGGATTACAGATGTGAGCCACCACAACTGGCCAAAAATTATTTTCTTTAAGAATGTTGACAACCCCGACTCTCTTCTGGCTTGTAGGGTTTCTGCAGATACCCTCTGTTAGTGTGATGGGCTTTCTTTTGTAGGTAACCTGACTTCTCTCTCTGGCTGCCCTTAACATTTTTTCCTTTATTTCAACCTTGGATAATCTGACAATTATGTGTCTTGGGGTTGCTCTTCTCAAGCAGTATCTTAGTGGTGTTCTCTGCATTTCCTGAATTAGCACGTTGGCCTGTCTTGCTAGGTTGGGGAAGTTCTCCTGGATAATATTCTGAAGTGTGTTTTCCAACTTGGTTTTATTCTCCTCATCACTTTCAGGTACACCAATCAATTGTAGGTTTGGTCTTTTCACATAGTCCCATATTTCTTGTAGGCTTTGTTTGCTTCCCCTCCCCTCCCCTCCCCTCCCCTCCCCTCCCCTCCCCTCCCCCCCTTCCCTTCCCTCCCCTTCTTCCCTTCCCTTCCCTTCTTCCCTTCCCTCCCTTCTTTCCCCTTTCCTTTCCTTTCCTTTCCTTTCCTTTCCTTTCCTTTCCTTTCCTTTCCTTTCCTTTCTTCCTTTCCTTTCCTTTCCTTTCCGTTCCTTTCCTTTCCTTTCTTCTTTCCTGTCCTTTCTTCTTTTTCTTTCTCTCTCTTTCTTTCCCTCTCTCCCTCCTTCCCTCCTTCCCTCTCTCCCTCCTTCCCTCCTTCCCTCCCTCCCTTCCTTCCTTCATTTTTTTCCTTTCTTTCTTTCTTTTTTTTTTGTGTGTGAGACGGAGTTTCACTCTTGTTGCCCAGGCTGGAGTGCAGTGGTGCGATCTCGGCTCACAAACTCCACCTCCCAGGTTCAAACAATTCTTCTGCCTCAGCCTCCTGAGTAGCTGGAATTACAGGCATGTGCCACCACACCCGGCTAATTTTGTATTTTTCGTAGAGATGAGGTTTCTCCATATTTGTCAGAATGGTCTCGAACTCCCAACCTCAGGTGATCTGCTCTCCTCAGCCTCCCAGTGAGCTGGATTACAGGTGTGAGCCACCACACCCAGCTGTTCATTCCTTTTCATTCTTTTTTCTCTAATGTTGTCTTCAAGCCTTATTTCAGTAAGTTGATCTTTAATCCCTGATATCCTTTCTTCTGCTTGATTGATTCAGCTCCTGATACTTGTGTGTGCTTCTCAAAGTTCCCATGCTGTGTTTTTCAGCTCCATCAGGTCATTTATGTTCTTCTCTAAACTGGTTATTCTAGTTAGCAGTTTCTGTAACCTTTTATCAAGGTTCTGAGCTTCCTTGCATTGGGTTAGAACATGCTCCTTTAGCTCAGAGGAGTTTGTTATTACCCACCTTCTGAAGCCACTTCTGTCAGTTCATCAAACTCATTCTCCATCCTGGAGAGGAGTAGTAATCATTTGGAGGAGAAGAGGAATTCTGGTTTTGGGAATTTTCAACATTTTTGTGCTGCTTTTTCCTCATCTCCATGGCTTTGTCTACCACTGATCTTTGGGGCTGATGACCTTTGGTTGGGGTATTTGTGTGGAGGTCCTTTTTGTTAGTGTTGATGTTGACGTTGCTGCTTTTTGTTTGTTAGGTTTTCTTCTAATAGGCCCCTCTTCTGTAGGTCTGCTGCAGTTTGCTGGAGGTCCACTCCAGACCCTGTTTGTCTGGGTATCATCAGTGGAGGGTGAAGAACAGCTAACATTGCTGCCTGCTCCTTCCTCTGGAAGGTTCATCCAATAGGGGCATCTGCCTGATGCCAGCTGGAGCTCTCCTGTATGAGGTGTCTGTCAACCCTGGGAGGTCTCTCCCAGTCAGGAGGCAGAGGGGTCAGGGACAGACTTGAGCAGGCAGTCTGTCCCTTAGCAGAGCCCAAGCACTGTGCTGGGGAGAATCCTCCTTGTCAGGATCTGCTGCACTGTTCAGAGCTGGCAGGCAGAAATGTTTAGGTCCGCTGAAGCTGTGCTCACAGACTCCTCTTCCCCCAGGTGCTCTGTACCAGGGAGATGGGAGTTTTATCAGTAAGCCCCTGATGGGGCTGCTACCTTACTTTCAGAGATGCCCTGCCCAGTGAGGAGGAATCTAGAGAGTCAGTCCAGCCACAGCCACTTTGCCACACTGTGGTGAGTTCTGCCCAGTCTGAACTTCATGGCCTCAGCACTGTCAAAGGAAAACCACCTACTCAAGTCTCAGTAATGGTGGGTGCTCCTTCCACCCCAAGCTTGATCATCCCAGGTCGACTTCAGACTGCTTGGTTGGCCGTGAGAATTTCAAGCCAGTGGTTCTTAGCTTTCTGGGCTCACTGGGAGTGGGACCACTGAGTGAGACTACTTGGCTCCCTGGCTTTAGTTCCCCTTTCCAGGTGAGTGAACGGTTCTGTCTCGTTAGGGCTCCAGGCACCACTAGGGTATGAAAAATAAAATCTACAGCTACCTCCATGTCTGCCCAAACAGCCACCCAGTTCTGTGCTTGAAACTCAGGGCCCTGGTGGTGTAGGCACAAGAGGGTGTCTCCTGGTCTGTGGATGCAAAAATCATGGG